ATCAACTACATAGTAGTCTTTACATAACAGGCCTAAACCAATTATGATAATCAAACACACCCAACAATGCATGGCACAAAGAAATGACCTTTTTAGCAACCAAATAGGCTATCGTATTGCAATCCCTACCTACAAAGCGAAACTGAAAACCCGGGCAAGCCTTTATCAACTCTACCACTTCCTGAAGTATGGCTCCACCTCCGACGATCCCGCGTTTCAGTGCCATGAATTTTCTCAATCACAACTTTGGCATCACCTTGAATCAACATATCACCAAAACCTATCTGACTACACCAATGACACGCATCTCGTATAGCAACCAGCTCTGCCAGAAAAGGGTCTTGGATCCCCAGATATTGAAGCCTAGTTGCCATAGCCAACTCCCCTGTAGCATCGAACAGCACCAAACCCACCGCAGCGTGTGAGGCAGCAGCAATCGCCCCATCCACCGCGCAAACCAAGCCACGACAATCCATCCTCTCTCCATTTCCTTGAGCTCCCTGAACCGCCATACCACATGTACCCTCACAGCAGGAGCCTCCCTAGCTGGAAACGCGGCCATTTCTTCACCTGAATAGTATATTGAAGAGACAAATGAGCAAAGGTAATCGGCTTCTCCTCATGCACCACCCAGTTTATTGACTTCCATATCTGCCAAAATATGGCCACTCCTATTCCATCCATCGTAGGAAGAAAATCCTAAATGTTCTCCTATCCAATCCTATGGTATAATAATCGGAATTTTTTCGATGAATTGATTATCGATATGATATAAGAGTCTTTGATTGGCAGGTTGTTGAGTTATAGTGACGTACAGGTACAGTTGAAGTAGTGGCGGAGCCAGAAATTTGAATGAGGGGGAAAAACTTGAATTGTGGTAATTGAGGGAGGGGAGGCTAAAGCCTTATCGACTATTTTAATTTTTAAATATTTGTAAAATTTATATGTAATTTTACCTATATTTCAAAGTTTAGGGGGGAGGGAGCTACAACCCCTCCTGATTTCAACCTAGCTCCACTTTAGCTCCTTGGGCATACTGTGTATGTTAGTTATGTAGTTTTTTATAGGCCCATGCTCATGCACAAGGGGAATCGGCAGAAACCTAGCTTGTGAGTCTATATATTTGTAGTTTTGTACCTTGTAAATTGACAGAAATCAACAGAATAATATGATCCTAAACTTCTTTCATGGAATAGTCTAGCCTCGAATCATGATCCCCAAACGAATCATTAGTAAGAAAAGTTGTATGAATATCCTGCAAATAGAAAAGTTGTATGAATATCCAACCTGAGTGCCTTCACTACGCCTGCACTCACCACATTGGTGCAGCTACCTCCATCCACAACCAAGGACAGCAGCTCCCCCTTCACCTTACACCGAGTATGGAAAAGGTTCTCTCTCTGCTCCAGTTCACTCTGAGGTTGTGCAGTTAACACCCTCCTAGTAACACAACTCCGGATCATGCCTCCTTTAGGTGGCTCCATCTCTATGGACTCATCCACTTCCGACTCCGGTGAACCAACTACATCGTCTCCGTCATCTTCTTCCTCAGATACATACTCTCCATTGTCCAAGAGAATCAATGTTTTCTTCATGGGACATTGCCTAGCCACATGTCCTCTTCCATGGCAGTTAAAACATTGAATGCCCACGGATGATCCACCTTGCTTCACATTGCTACTAGATCCTTCCACCTTGGCAGCATGTTTCGGACCTTCCTTGAAAGGTAGGCTTGGCCTAGAATTATTGGCAGCACTCGGCATAGGTCGTGGAGTAGAGTTAAAAGGTTGAATTCGTCGAGTTCTTTGCTGCCTCTCCACCTTAGCCGCCATAGCTAGCAACTCCTCCAGTTCAATGACGGATTGTATCTCTATCACATTTCGAATGTCTTTATTGAGACCTTGCAGAAAACGAGCAATGGTGGCCTCCATGTCTTCATTCACATCGGCACGGATCATTAAGGTCTCCATCTCTTGATAATAATCTTCCACACTCCTTGTGCCTTGCCGGAGAAGTTGTAAATTCTAGTGCATCTCCCTTTGATGATAGCTAGGCACAAACCTCTCTCTCATAATGCTTCTCATCTCGTACCAAGTCTCAATAGGTCGTTGCCTGTTTCTTCTTCTCTTGGTATTCAACTGATCCCACCAAATAAGAGCATACTCCGAGAATTCTAGGGCAGCAAGCATCACCTTCTTCTTCTCGGAATAATGGTGACAATCAAAAATCAGCTCCACCTTCCTCTCCCAATCAAGGTAGTGGTCAGGGTTTGTAGTACCACGAAAAGGAGGAATGGAAATCTTCAAATTTCGAAAATCTTCTTCTTCTTCTTGCTTGAACTCACCCTCATCTTCCTCAAACCCCTCGAACCCCTCATTACGAAGAGGTCTTCGTTCTCTCCTTACTGCTCGCGGCATTCCCCCCCCCCTTCTGTTTGCTTGGTGTCGTTGCACTTCATGGAACAATGGTGGGGATGCTCGATTTTCTCTTCTGTCTTCTCGTTGAACTCTAGGTTGCGGGTTTGCTTCCACTTGAAATTGTGGTTGAGGTTCTTGAAGTCGAGCTTCAATAGCTGCCATCCTCTCATTGTTCTCGGCACTTTGGATTTCTAGGGCTTGCAGAAGTTGCCCCAATTGAGTGGATAAAGCCTCGACTCTATCCTCCATCTTGCGGCACAAGAAAGGCCTCCAACCGCACAAGAAAATTAGTTCAGGCTCCAAGAACCACCTCAAGATTCGAGTTCTTCTTCAAGATAACTTCAAGAATACGCAAGATTCGGGTCAGAAACCCTAGATAACCGTCAAGAATCACAAGATAACCGCCACTCACTTAAACCAGGCTCTGATACCACTTGATGCAAGCAAAGTCACGCAGCTTTCACTCGATCACGAACAGGGATAAAGATGGACTCCAATAGGACAGAACTTGCTTGTGGAAAGGGGCAATTGGTATGTCAAACCAATCGGACAATCCCAACTAGAAGTAAAGGGCAATTGGAAGGGGTAGAACTCACCACAATCGAAGTGGGTATCGGATTGATAAGAGTTTGCTCTAGCTCTCTCCAGAATTCACTCAATGGAAGAAAGTAGGGCTAGAAACCTCAAAGGAGGATTCGCCAGAAGCCTTGAATAAATCAGTAGTTTGGTGATAATTGTCTAAAAAAAAACCAACGTGTTCAGCCCTTTAAATAGGCAAAGTACAACCCAAATCCGACTCCAACATGGAAAAACAATCATAATCCGACTTTAAAACAAGGAAACTCAGAAACAGCCCAGCAAACCCGTTAAGCCCAAACCGTTAAGTCTGGACCCGTTAAGTAGACCCGTTAAGACTGGACCCGTTAAGCAAACCCGTTAAGGCTGTTTCTTGCAATCTGCCTTCTCTTCAGCACTTCCTCCTTCTTCTTCCACGACTTGAATCATCATACACGCTTTGGACTTCAGCAACTCCACATCCATGTCTCGAAAATAGCACTCCAAATAGGTAGCAAACTTCTCTTTGAATGCCTTGGCCTTAGCTCGAGTGATTGGCCCCTTGATGTCCTCATCAGAGGGGCTTCTGGAGCTTGAAGTGCATAGTGTCGATGGATTTCGCTGTTGCGGTGGAGTTGAGCTTGTGCTTCTTCGCTTCTTCTAAGAACTGGGGAAAAACAGAGTAATTGTTGGTTAAATGGATTCTCTTTGAGATAATCGAAGGTTTTCATAAATCGCCATGATTATGTATATCACTATGAATACCACCTTAATTATGTAAAAGGTCGTCGAGTACACTTCTACTCGCTATTGGAGAGTACAAGACTGTGTAAAAGGTCCACCGGCAGGTTCAGGAACAAGGTAGTCGCGGCCAGGCGCTGCGTGGTGGTCACGGATGACGGGCGGTGTTCGTGGATAGGGAGGAACGTTCTCCAGGGAGGGGGCAACGCGGTGGTGGCGGCGACTTTCTGTTTGGGAGTCGTCAGCTCGGCGTCGAGCGGGATTGGTGGCGGTGCATTCATGCTCGTCCGAATGGCCTCCGGCGAAGCCCAGGCCTTCGGCATGTGGGAGGTTGCTCCGATTAAAGCTTCCCATTAAGGCTCAAGAATTTGGGCTTCGATTTTGCAACAATGGGATTAAGGTTATTTTTTAATTATTATGATATTGAGGTGGAATTTTTATTAGATTAGTTTTTTTATATTTATATTTTAATTATCACATCGCCTATTTAACGGTCAACTATGAGAGTTGACCGCTTAATTAGCAAAAGTTAATGGAGACTAACGGTCAGTGACCAAACTTGGACTGCTAGCCTAATTTAAGTGACTACGGATGAAATACAGTAATTCTAGTGGCTAACGTGAACTTTACTAGTAATTCAAGTGACCAAACATGCAATTTAGCAGTCCATTGCTCTTTATGTCAATTGTGATTGAAAAAATATTGGTAGTAGCCTAAAATTGGGGAGCAGTAGTTAGAGAACGAATAGTGTGTATACTCTACCTATGCATGCATAACCCTAAATTTACCATTTATAGAGGACCACTAATTTTTCCTCAATTAAGTTTAACGGGCTATATATTTTGTTTTAATTCATAATTTAGTTTATTTGCGCACAGGTAAATCATATTTTATTTTGATATATATTGGAAAAAGAATTGTGATTTACATTACCAGTCCATAATATAGTGGTAATGTTTGTTAGTATACAAGATTATACAACGATAATATGAAAGTGTATCATGGCGGTATGAATATATCTAATTGTCATTCAACACCAATAACCACCCTATACCAGAGTGGTATATTTGATCTTGAAAAATGTTCTTCTAAAATTTGTAGATCCAATAGATAACGATGAACTCTTTTCTCCTATGCACAATTTTTAAAATAAAGTGAAAAACGAAGGTGTAACATAGTAGTACCAGCTTACGAGTATTGTAACAAGTGACAAGTGATGCAAAGTTTATTCTCGAGATATATTGAAAATGAATATCGTTTTGTAGATTAGAAGGAAACTAGAAATCCAAGCTAGACTGTGGCCGTCTGGAAACCGCGAATCTTCTTAAACTCCGATTTTCAAAAAGTCCACCTGCTTTCGGCATCTCCGATTCCTTCTCAGCTACACCGCCACATAAAATCCGAAGACTCGAATCAGCCATCACTCTGCTTTCCCTCCCCGTTCGTTGCGCCTCCAAACGCGCCGCTGAATCTTCGGGAAGCTCAGAACTATGGCAATGGCTGGACTGTACCGTCGGATCCTCCCATCTCCTCCCGCGATCGATTTTGCTTCTTCCGAAGGAAAGGTAGAGTAAACCTTTGCAATTGTCCCTCTCCTCATGTTATGTATCCCACCACCACATTTCGATTTTCGAGGAATTAGGGTTTCGTCTGTCGTGAGGTAGATGTTGATGGTTAGTCTGCAGCGGCGATAGTCATGACTAGTCAGGGAGCTCGGTTTTCATACGTTGAGCAACATGGCTACTTTTACCAGCTTTTGGTTTCCGATAAAATGATCTCAAATTGTTTGCTCTTTTGGAGTTGCAGCAAATTTTTCTTGAGGCGCTTCAAAATGGAACCATGGAAGGTTTCTATAAGTTGATATCGTCCTTCCAGACGCAGTCTGAGCCTGCCTACTGCGGTCTGGCAAGCCTTTCTATGGTCTTGAATGCACTTGCAATTGATCCTGGGAGGAAATGGAAAGGTAACAGCAGCAATAGGTTCTTGATTGCAGCTCTGTGTGAGTTTGGTCTCAAGTATGAATTGCGTCAGGCTAGAGTCTTGGTTCAGGTAGGATATGTGATTTTAACATGAATTGCTCAAGCTGTATACTTGTAGCCCTTATTTAGGCTTGAATTGTATTTTTACTTGACCTGTCTCTTAAAAAGAGCTGCTATATAGCAGAGAGTTGCTTCTTCCTGCGTTCAAAATTGATTCACGTGTTCTATCACATTGGATAGAATAGGGAACATTGAGAACCGTCATGACCTTGATGCAGGACCGTGGAGGTGGTTCGACGAGTCCATGCTGGATTGCTGTGAGCCTTTGGAAAAGGTTAAAGCAGAGGGCATTTCGTTTGGAAAAGTCGTTTGTTTGGGACAATGTGCCGGTGCAAAAGTTGAAGCTTTCCGGACCACTCAAAGCACCATTGATGACTTTCGTAAACATGTCATTAGATGTTCCACTTCTGATAATTGCCATGTGATTTCATCATATCATAGAGGGGTTTTTAAACAGGTATTTCTCTTTAGCTGCGGATCCCTATCTTAGCGACTCTTCATCACTGGTACTGATCTGAGGTCTGCCAGTATTCTAGGGCTTGAATATTTTGCTAAAGCAATTAAAACTTTTACTATGGATCCTTTTTCTTATCCAATGGCAGATTGGTGCTTGTCAATGTAATGTGGTAAAACTTATAATTGCAAATGAATTATTCAATTGTCCCGTAGAAATCACTCTCCTAGCTCTGTTCTTGGTTATATATTAACAGAAGTTAGACTTGAGCTTTTCTGTCAGTGGGAAGAAAATAATGCTATCAGAAAGCTTGGCTTGCAAGATTACTTATATAAATATGGATAACTACCATTTTCTTTATTACTGGATTGCAGACCTAGTCATGAAACTTGCCTATTTTCAGTTCAGGAGCTTAACGGGGCTTGTTTATTTCTCTATCTCCCCCCCCCCCCCCCCCCCCCCCCCCCCTCTTTAATTTCAGACAGGGACTGGTCATTTTTCACCTATTGGTGGTTATCATGCTGGAAGGGACATGGCTTTGATTTTGGATGTTGCACGATTTAAGTATCCTCCACACTGGGTTCCACTAAGTCTTCTCTGGGAAGCCATGAATGCAATTGACGTGACAACTGGACATCATAGAGGGTAGGATCTTATATTCTTTTTAATAGCTTGAGCCTCTTCTAAATTACTGAGCGGAGAGTCTAATAAAAGTGCATAAATGTTCATTAGCATGTAAAATAGTTATTAGATGGAAACTAAGCCAGAATGTACTGATGCAATGAACTAATGTTCATTGCAAAACAACCTTGTCTTTTGGTAACCCTGCATATCACTTTTTCATGTGATATGTTTTTGTCTCATCATAGTGCTTTACCATTGACATAATTCTCCTTTAACTAGCAGAATATTGGTCGTGTATCTCACACACACTAGGCTAGGTTCTATCATTTTAACTTAGCCTGCATTATTCTGTATGATCATTTTAACTTAGCTGCTCATTTCAGTTATGTCCAGTGCTCTACATATCTTTGGAGACTACAGCAAAGAGCAGATCGATGATTGGTTACAGGGCCATCACTTTTTTTAACGTCCCTTTCCCCCTTTCTACTTATGTAACTGTTGGATCTTACAGGTTCATACTCTTATCACGGCCTCGTACAGAGCCAGGACTGCTTTATACCCTTGTAAGTTTACAGTTGGCACCACTTCCTCGTTAGTTATTGGTCTCTGAAGTTTCAGTTTGAACCACTAGTTTCTGATAATAATATAGTTTGGCAACACTGTTTTTCCTCATTAGTATTTTGGGAGTGAAAATGCTAGCAAATTTCAAATTTTTGGTGCTCTTGTATTATATATTTTCTTACTTTTTATTTCACAGAGCTGTAAGCAAGAGAGTTGGAGTGGCTTCGCCAAGTATCTAATTGATGAAGTTCCTGTGCTCTTGAAGTCTGACGATTTGGAAGATATTGACAAGCTACTTCAAGTCGTCTTAGTGTCCTTACCATCACATTTTGGCGATTTCATCAAGTGGATTGCTGAAGTTCGAAGACAAGAGGATGGTGGTGAGAACATAAGCCAAGAGGAGAAAGGACGACTAGCCATGAAGGTGCTTTACAAACTCAAACCCTCTACTATAGACATTTTCTTCTTTTGACATTTCCTTAACTAAGGGGGTCAAAAT